TTCAGAAAAACGTAAAGTAGGCGATGTTGCTTTTGCAACATTTGATAACGGTGGTAGTACAGGGAAATGTTCTGGTGAATTCCACTTTACACAGATTACACCAGACACTACACGTATAACTGGACAATTTAATACTGGGTTTACAAGTACAATTCAAAGTGATTATACATTTATCATTGTTGACAAAAACGGTGTTACAAAATTTGATTTTACTAAAATAATTAGAAGTATGTTGTTTTTTTATCCTCCCGGAACCGCTGTAATCCAATTTGATCCAAAACTCCAAACCAATAGCCTAGTAGGCCTTTTTTTCGTTGTAAAACTTAAAGGCACAGAAACCGGCAGAGCCCAAATCAAAGGTGTATAACCAATTTAAATAATTAGTTGTTATTATTTATTACGTGTAATGTAATTTTATGATAATTTTAATGTATTAATAATATTATTAATATAATACTTTCTTGAGAATTAAATCATGTTAATAATAATGTTGTTCGATTAAAAGGAATTTGTGCCCTTTTTTTTTTATTTATAATAAAATTCAGGAAGATCTTTTGATTAGCAAAAATATTTATTTATTATGATTATTTTTTTTTAACGTAAGAAATCAACGGAATCAATCCGATGCAACATTCAATGTCGATTTCAGGGTTAATTGCTGATTATTTTTAAAATGATTTAATGTCTTTTTGGTATAAAAAGGAATTTGCAGTTTCACATCAAATTTTTATCCAAGATTTCAACAAAAATGATTCTCCTTAAAGAAAAAGTGAAATCTTTAAGAAATAAAGAGAGTGAACGGGCACGCAACAACAACAACAATATTAATATGATAATGTCACCCAGAAATCAAGGTGATTATCTAGTTGTTTATGGTGGTATGTATAAATATAAGGTATTTGTAATTGCCAAGTATGCGACTATCTCATGTAGAGGTTATATCCATCTATTACACGATTATCCAAATATCAAATTGGGTGAACAGACTGTATACCCATCCAGATACCGGTTTTTTCTTACAAGATATCCGCGATTATCCAATAAATTTTATTTATCAGGCAGGTCCTGTGTAATCACTGACAGAAATAAACAAACTTATTTTTTGTAACTTTATATTATAATCATGTGATACAATAAAGTTTATCGTTTAATATATTTGAATTAAAGAAAAAAAAATTTTTTTTTCTGCCAGTAATACGTCGGACCTACCTGATAGCGAGAACAAAACGCGCATCAAAAAAATAATGAATACGTACGAGAAAATTGCTTGTTACACACTATCGCAAAGAAAAGCGAGCCTTGGCTTGAGAACAAATTTTCGACTTGATAAAATAAAACCTAAAAACCGTTCACTGGCTGGTAAAGGCTTATTTAACCTGATCCATTCAATTTATCAATTATTTCGCTCTCCCACATAATAATGGTTATAATAATAATAACAATAACAACAATAACAGTAATAATTGTCATACAATAAATACGAATTCAATAAATATTAAATACATTTCAAAATTGGCTTTATTACTCATAGTATCATATATTTGTTACAAATTCATGTTTCTCGGGATTATGAAACATTATAAAAACCTACCAAATAATGGCCACCAGCCACTAAAAGACAATTCTTTTCGATAAACTGGAAGAATGTCAAGAAACCAGTAATAAAAAAAGAAAACGGATAATCGAACAAAAATTTGGAACAGAAGATAAGGAAGATTTAAAAATTCATAAATTAATGTTAGGATCATCCAGTGATCAAAGAAATGGGCATTAAAAGGAATTCAAAAGGGTATCGGCCTACAGTTCTTCTTTTACTGAGAGAAAAGAGAGACTGACAAGAGAAAAGCAAGGAAGGATCAACTCTAGGTCAAGAGGATCGAAAGAAATACAAAAACAAAATTTATATAAAGAGAAGCGATGAAAAATGTGAACGATATAACAATATAACAATGCAACAATAAAACAATGTAAAAACTTAGCGGATTTCCAAGAAAAGCCTAAAAGGAGTTCCAACTGAAGAAATAAGTACATAAAAATATTAATAAAATGAAAATAAAGAAAATGACAACAAAATAATAATAAAATAATCCCGAGAACATTTCAAAATTAAAGGAAAGAAAGAAAAAATTGATGACAACAAATTTCATGAGAAAAGAAAAGCAAAGAAAAATAACAACATATCATATGTATATATATTAATAAAATGGTACTTTCTAGAAGGATCTGCTTTTTTTTTTAATATATCTCATATGGATACAGTTAGAACTAACTCGTCACGACGATGTTTAATAAAAATGAATATACATGATTACTTTGGTTAGAGTTCTGACTGTATTAGAGAGATTAGCAACACTATTCCCTTCTTTGATGGTAAAATTAACTGTTAAGGCCGTGTAGATTTTTAATTATTATTATATGGACAGTGAGTGAGTGAACTGTGCCCCAAAGGATTAATTGTCCTCGTGCCAAATGAGGGAAAAATAACTCCTGTTCTTAAATAAGTTATAAACTCGATAAGTCGGACGCACCAATCAATTGTTTAAAGCACTTGATAATATAAATAAATAAATGACCGATTTACCAAGTTTATTGATATTATATATATTAATACTTATCAGGTAGGTCCCATGAACATATTTTTTCCCAAAACAATAAATAACGACGAATTTTAAAACTTGACTATTTGTCCATCATCGGCAAATTGGCAAGTCTATTCGACATACAAGCCATGTTTATTTGTTAGTTTTTTTGTGTGAACATAAAAACAACAAAAACGCACCATGTTCGAACAATAGTTATTATCCGAGTTAACATTAAATCACGCATAAAACAAGTCGATTTTGTTATGAGAAACAACTTTTACTTGGCATGCGAGGCTTGGTTTTTTCAAATTTTATGGTTGAACGAATGATGATGATTATTGTTATTATTATTATTATTATTATTAATATATAGATATCAAAATTATTTGACATTAATAGAAGATAGTTTATTACTAATACTAATATGTCTGATTTGTTTGGACAAGTCACGTGATAAATACGACAATTATTAATAAAATTTTTCTTATTATTATTATTATTATATTATTACATCAAAAAAATTATATATATACTTAATCATGTCAAAGGAGCAAACCATCATCCACTCAGTCCTCAAAAAACGTACAATAATTCATATTGATATGGATTGCTTTTACTGTCAGGTTGGTAAGTAAAAATGCTTTTTTAATTTTTATAATAATATAATTCGCGACTTTCTCAATATACAGTATTTAATTTATATTTTGAAAATTTTAAAATTATAGAACAAGTAAGGCTAGGAATTCCTTCAACTTTGCCGGTAGCTGTACGACAATGGTCTGCTTTAATTGCAGGTTTAATATAATAATAATTGTATATTTTTATTATGATTTATATATATATACAGCATATATAATCCAAAATTCATTTTATCCAGTTAATTATGCAGCACGTAAAGCGGGTATAAAAAAAGTATCCAATATTCAAGACGCACTTAAAATATATCCTGGTAAAAAATAATTTTTAATAATTAATTATTGTTTTAATCAATGCTTTTGATCATATTTATATCAACTAAAGGTTTGATTACTAAAAAAAACCTTTATAGGATTGAAACTTGTTCATGTCGCAACATATGCGAATGGTGATCCAGAACCTAAATATCACCCAAATCCAAGTTATGGTACACATAAGGCTTCGTTAGACGTATATAGAAATGCAAGTTTAAGAATTTTTAAAATATTTATGAGATATTGTAATATTGTACAACGTGCTGGTGTTGATGAAGCTTATCTGGACGTTACAAATATCGTTAATCAAAGAATAATAGAAAGATATCCAAATATTATATTATCTGAAAATTTAAATGAAGCTCCTCCTCCTCCTATTTTAGATTGGAATGGATTAGGAGTGTTGTATGAAAGTCAAATAAATAATGATATTGAGAATAATAAACAAAATTTTAGTTTAGATCAATGCTCAAATATTAACGAATCAAAAGGTTGGGATGATATGCAACTTTATGTTGCAGCAGAAATATCAAAAGAAATTAGGGAAACTATTTTCAATGAATTGGGATACACATCTTCTGCAGGAATTGCACATAATATGACATTAGCAAAATTATGTTCAGCATTAAATAAACCAAATATGCAGGTAATGACTTGATATAATAGCATTGCAAATAAATATTTTCATGTACTTAAAACTATTTTTATTTATAAATGGGCGGGGGGGGGGGGGTTTCTTTCTTTACAGACTATTCTACGGTCAAATCAAACATTAGGTTTTATGCAAAATTTGTCTTTTAAAAAAATTCGTAAACTTGGTGGTAAATTGGGTGCTAAAGTTGGTAATATTTTGAGAATAGAAACTGCAGGAGAATTATGGTTAATGATTTATTCCAAGTGTATTTTTTCTTTAAATATAAAGAAATAATGTTTAATTGGTTGATTGATTAATCAATTGTAGGTGCTATTCAGTAAGTGAATTACAAGCAAAATTTGGGATGGAAAATGGTATTTGGCTTTACAATATATGTAGAGGTGTTGATGGTGAAGAAGGTTAACGTTTATTCTTGATTTCTTTGTTCATATTTAAAAAATATATATATATATATTGATGTATCTTTATTTTATTAGTTGTCCAAAGGAATATTTCAAAATCAATGATGGCAGCCAAATCATTTAAACCACCATTAAAAAATTTCTCACAGATTGAACATTGGTGTAAAATTTTAAGCTCTGAATTATATAAAAGACTTTTAGATGATTATGAAATAAATAATAGATGGCCAAAAACCCTTGCAGTAAATATAAAAAAAATTCTTGATTAATAATCCATTATTTATTTATTGTATTAAATATTTAGTTTAATATATATATATATATTTAGATACATTATAAATGTATTAATGATCCAACACCGCATTCTAAATCTTGTCCATTTCCTATTCGATCAGAAGTCAATTCACCTGACATGATTTCTAAAAAACTATATGATCTTTTTGGAAATTCAGATAATTTGTTTCCATGTTCAGGATTGTCAGCTTCAGTTGCGGGTTTAATCAAAGATCAATCTATTGGAACAATGGATATTTCTAAATTTATAACAAAAAATTTGCCAAATAAGAATGTTTTTTCTGGAAGGAACAGTAGTAATAATAAGAATAAGAATAATAATAATAATAATAGGAATAATAATAATAATAATAATAATAATAGTATGGAATACGGTGCTAAAATTACAGCATTTTTATATTGATATTACTATATTAACTAATACGGAAACTGTATTATTAAAATTAATATTAATATTGATAAGAAAAATAATCATTTCTATTTACCCGTAATAAAGTTAATTTATTCTACTGAGTCGTTTCCTCCCAGTTGGTCAGATTATCAATTTTTAATGTCCAGTTTAAGCCATAGCACTAACCTTAGTAATAAATCAGCACTGCTACCACCGCAAAAGTCCTTCGAATATAGTTGTAGTTTTACATAATAAACAATACAATACAATAATAAACACACCACCTGTCAAAATTATTCAGACAAAATTTAACAAACGATGATAAATATGTGATATCCTAGAAAGCTTGACTACAAATATCATTAATCTTTTTATGGTTTTTTTGGTCACCTTTTTTCAAACCTTATTGTATCTCGACGTCAAACACGAGTATTTTTTTAATGTATAAACTGGTTAGAATGATCATTGACCCTAAAAAATTTATTTGCTCCCTAAAAAACTATTTTACTATTCAACATCCCGTTAAACCAATGGCTCCACCTCAAAACCGATGGGTTTTTGCTAGTATAAAATATTTATAACATTATGATCAAACAAAATCAGCGCATATGTAAAGATCCTAATACGCAAACTTGTTAATAAAAAATAGTAATATTTATTAAATCTCTTAATAATTAAATAAATTATTCATTAAATATTTTTCGAAAAACGACATTACAATTCAAGGATTCTCTTTTTATTTATCAATTTGGGTCATAATAATAACAAATTGAATCTGTCAATTTTTTACAACTCTTACTATGAACTTGTGGAATAGTTACTTTGATGATACTCCTGTTAATAACTGGTCTATTTTTCGCTTTCATAAAATTGGATCAATGTTCACAAAAAGCATCCTGAGCAACTAACTTATGGCAAGACTATGGATGCACTTTTTAAAAGTCTCTATGTGATTATTGAACAAAGTTTGTATCTGCAAAAAATCTGGAAAGCTCAAATACTTTTAGCCAATTGTCAGGCAAGTATTGTTTGATTATGGGGAATGTCCTCTGTAGTAATCTTTTAGATGACTGTGGTTGTCCACAACAAGGAAGACACAACTTTTCGTTGTCCTTCTGATGATCTTTTCGACCGTTATGGTTCTTTCAATGCTGAATATTGAATATGTTAAAAGCATTTTATGTTTATGTATTAATAGCATTTTTTTCCTTTTTTTTGCAAGAACAAAAATCAACGTAATGCAGGAAGCAACATGGATAATCTATGGCTTGATGTTGGGAAAATTCTCCAAGAAAAGATGATTAATACAGGAACAAATATTCGACTTGTATCATGTGATGGTATTCAAATTAATAATGTTGGAAATAAATGAACTCGTGAAAAAGAGAATGAAACATCATCAAAAAAGTCGGAATATAACTTATTTACTTTTGAAATTCAACTGAGTGAGATTACTAATAGTTATGTTAACTGTATTAGGTCATGAACAATAGTCCTTCTTTGAATCAAAATGTAGATGAGCATCAAGGGATAGATGAATTTTCAGAGATCTGGTATCTTCCTTATTCTTTACATTTCTTCTCTACTCATCTAAGGTTCATTTCTTAACAAATTCTTGGCTTATTGCAGAATCCAGTTGTTGGAAAACTTGTAGATGTTGGTGGAGTTGCTAGATACAATATTAACTTTTTACCTGAGGAAAACGAATGTGATCCAATTAAAGACTAGTGCCGTAATCCAAAAAAGGAAAAAGTATGGTTGCAACCATTTTTTATATGCCGTAGATACAATTACTACCATCATCATAATTTACGGCACTAGTCTTTATAGTGGATTGAATATGAACATCAATACATTACTGAAAAAATACAATGATGGCATTATTAAAGCAACAACTGGTTATGATGTCCATTTGAGCAAAATTGCAGTTATTTTTGTGAGAATCCTATTGCTTGTATAATTTTATTAAGGAATGGCCTTGCCAGTGGATCCAATAAATACATAATGCATTGTAAGTACAATACTTTCTATGCTGGTATTTGGAATGATCATACTGACTTTAATTCTATTTTAGTGTACTCACTCTGCTTTCAACTACCAATAAATCCCCTTCGCAATGGTGATTTGTTAGAGTATGCTTATCGAAATAGAATTGGAGATGTTTTTCTGGACATAAATAATGTTATTTATATGAAAACGTAAGATATTTACTTGGAGTCTTCTATCTCTTGAAAAAATATTCAACGATATATTAATGCAAGCCTTATTGATTATAGTGGGGAAATTGAAAATACAGATTGTAAGGTTCAATGAGATTATTAGGAAAAAGGTGTGCCATTGGTTGCTCACACAATTCCTTATTAGCAATTAAGGTGGATTACCATGACTGTGAAATTTTATGTCATAATTTTTTAAATTAGTTGCATGTTATTTTATTATTATCATAAGATATAAACATAGCAATTGGAAATGTTTTTGGAAGATAAATTACTTTTTTGACATAAATTATTTTATAGTTACATTTAACGTTTAATGTATTAGCATATAAATTAAAATAAGTAAATAATGAATTAATTAATTAAATTAAATTATAGTTCATAACCTAGGTTCCATTGCTCCAATGTCAATTTTACATTCATGATTAAAACTATGCCAATACAACATTGCTTGATTGACGCCATAATAGTGAACTGAAGCAGCTGCCAAGACAAAAAAATGAAATATTTGATGTGATGATGCCTAAAAATAAACAACAAAATTTTATGATTATTAATTTATAATTAAAATAAAATTACAACTACTAATTTATAATTATAAACAAATTACCCATATATCAAATGTTCCAGGAAACCATCTTTCAGGCACTCTAATTGACAAAAATATTAAAAATATAACAAAAATAAAGATCAAATTATTTAACTTGTTATAAAAATTACCTTGCACCATAAATTAAAGCACCAACAACATATAATGCGCCCATTAATAGTAACCATTTTAAAGATATTACATCAAAGCAAAGTCCAGGCTGTTTTAAAAGAAATGTTGATATTTATGTATTTTAAATACAATTATTATAATTATCACAAGTAAATAATAATGATAACAATTACCCCATACAATATCAAAGCATGAGCCAAAGGAACTATGGCGCTTAAACCCATTGATAAAAACATTCCTGTACGAAACCATCTAAATTCAGGTGATCTAAATTTGCTGGCAACTGCGACTGAAATCTAAAATTGATTAATCAATGAAAAAATAAATTATTATTATTATTGATAATGATGAATTAATTATTGAACGTAGTTGGAGGCAGTTTTATCTATCATTCACATACAGTTGCAGCGCCAAATATTGAAATTGATGTAAGATAAATGATTTGTAATAAACCATTACAATAAAATCCTAATAAATCAATTAAATTTATTGTAAATAATAATGAACAAATGATAATAATTAATTAATCAAAAGTTAATCAATTGATCGTAAATATTAAATTACCATAATAAATCATTGGATAAAATGACCCTCTAGAAAATAAATAATAATTTCAATTAATATTATGATTATAGTTATAATAAAAAACAAATATTAGTTACTTACACGATTAGTGTGACAATTCCAACATAATCACATCTATTCCAATTAGCACAAACCTAAAATTAAAATATCAATTAATGAAAACTTATCAATGTGATATAATATATAACTCAATCAACCAATCAACCAATAAATCAACCAATCAATCAATCAACCAATCAATCAATCAATCAATAAATCAATAGATTCGCTGTAAACTCACTCTTTCAGAATGGCAACATAGAGCATGGAAAGTCGAAGAGAAACCTAAACAAATCATTGCACCCAATAAAAAAGTATAAAAAACAAGAAAATCCCATATCTTAATATTTGGTTGACTTGACAATACGGAAAAATATGTTACAAATCCAAGAATTATAAATATTAAAGTTCCAATCAAGTGTGACCAAATATTAACTAATAAATAAAATAAAATAAAATAAAATAATTTTAGAAACGAATATAATTCATGCGTGATTTTATAAACATACATTAAATATATTACATACCACTTTCATTATGAAGATAAAATAGTGACTTTGCACATTTTATATAAGAAAGTGTTGGTCTACGATATCCTAAAATAGATGATTATAATTAGATACGACATAATTAGATATTCTTTATAATATTTGATTACTTACCTCTTAGAATGTCTTTGTTATCTTGTAGCCATGCGGGTAAATCACCAAAATTACACGTAAGCGAAAGTTTTGCAGCTGTTGTATCAATCGTGGTTGTGGAATATGTTGTATTGGTTGAATCAAATTTTTTAGAATTTTGATCCGATTCAATCGATCTGGTTTCTTCTGATATTGATGTTTCTGATGAAGAAGATGTTATAGATGGTTTTCTCCGAGATGGTGACATTTTACGTCGAGAAAGCATTTGATTATTAATTAATTATTATTATTGAGTAAATTTATTATTAAAGGAATATGTGAATTTATGAAATTCAAATCAGCCAATCAAAATTCCATATTCAAACACCGCCAAAGTCTTACACTATTACTATTACTATTTACATACATGCAACCAAATTATTTACACGTGTCCGCCCGCTAACATGCCATTTTTTTTATTTTCCACTATATACTGTACTACCCCTAGATTAGTATAGTTGACTTGTAGATCTTTATCATTCTTTAACATTAAAAGTTACAACGTTAATAATAAAAATTCGGTTTCGAGTGGAATCAAGTACAGCTTCAAATTGATACAAGAATCTACTCTCAAGTAGGAGAAGTAGCAGAGAAATAATCTTATTTAATATTTAAAATAAAATATCTAACAATTTAGCACGACTTTAAACATACTAGTTATACGATTTTTTTCTATAATTATTTGTAATCGAGATTTTCTCGAATATTTATTTGAAAATTAAACAATCTGTTTTGAAGTTGAGTAAAAAGTTGATATTCTTGATCAGTAAATGTAATTTGAATTCTGGTTGAAGTCTGGGAAAGTTTATTTATTTATTTTATCTACTGGAGAGTGCAAATTTGAATCTTTATAAATTGCAATGATTTCTGTCAAAATCAATTAAGGCAGAACAATAACTTTCAGATTCAAAAGGGAAATGTAATTCCTGGTATTGTTGAAAAAAACATCTCAGAATAGAAAACCTTGCATGGATGAATGGATAAAGTATTCGATTTGCACTTAGTCTTTCAAACCTTGTTCTTATTTGCAACTTAGACCCTTGAATATACCCCAGTGAACGTTGGTTCAACAAAGTTGCTCATTCTATTTATTATTATTATATATAGTTGTATATGTTATGTACTGTCTATCAGAAAATATTATTATAAATCTTCTTCCGTTAGTTAATATTAATTAATATTAAAAAAAAAAAGGATATTTTTCGTATTACATTGATCTTGACAACCAATAAAAATTTCAAAATATTTCGATTATTTTTTACAATCAATAAGATGCTCCATCTTCTTGGAGTCAATTTACCTGAAAATAAATTAGTCAGAGTAAATAAATATTTCATCAATAATTAATTATCAATAATTTAATTCTTACTTAACGCATACGTTGGATTATTTTATACAAAAAAAAAAATTTTTTTTTATTAGATTGCATTAACATACTTTTATGGAATTGGTGATATAACAGCTAATAAAATATGTAGTAAATTTTCCATTCATAAAGCATGTAAATTGTCAGAATTATCGGAATCACAGATAAATCAAATATCTTTAGAATTATCAAACATGAAAATTGAGAGTGATTTGAGACGCGAAACAAGGAATAATATTATACATCATAGAACCATTGGTTCTTATAAAGGTAAAAGACATGCTATGGGTTATCCTGTTAGAGGTCAACGTACTAGAACAAATGCACGAACTGCCAGAAAATTAAATGGCAGATGGTTAAAGAAAGAATATAGCACGTAAGGTCTAATTCAATCAATTGATCATAAATTTGCTCTGTATATACTTACTAATGCTAAATCCCATTTTTATTATTATCATCAGAATTTCAACATCTAACTGCAATAAAAATTCGATAAAAGCTTCATCCATTTTATCCATATTTAATAATCCATTTAAAAACCTGTTTCACTCATATTAATAATAATAAAACAACATAATCTTTGACAACAATGAATAGATATGAAATAATATAAAATAAACAATATTCAGTTCAATTAAAAACCTTTTGACTCTTTAATTTCCTTTTCTCCCCCCCATCCTCCAATATAATTAGAATTAATGTTAGATCCAAAATCAATAACCAATTTATCTGATATATCTGCACATCTGAGTAGTATATGTTGTAAATCTACCCGTTGATACACTTGTACTAAGTTCACCATTCATCTGCCATAAGTTAGATTACTAGTATATTTCAATTACTACCATCACCACTAATAATAATAATAATAATAATAGGAGAATATAAATTATTATAAAAAATCAAATAAGAAAACAACACAATAATCAATTGTCAAAACTTTGAAAACACTTCCGCCTGTTTCTTTAGAATATGGCAAAGATTGCTCAAAGTCTTGCATC